GCAGGAAGCACACCTCCATGCCCACTAAAAGGTGGGGGCTCTAATGGAAACTCCAACTCAATCTGGGCTGGAGCACTGCCATGGCACTGCTAATATTAGTAACTGATTAATGTGTAATGAAATACAGTTGTTTAACCATTTTGAATGTACACCTCCTCACAAAAGGAAAACAACCATTCAACATGGCATGGTGGTTACAGAAAGAAACAAATATAAAGTAAAATCATGGCCAGTACCAGGTTTTTATGATGCAGTCACTGAGTTAATGTAGTCAATGCCTAGAAAAGGACATTATGTATGTCTATATGACACTAAAGTGACATGTTAAGCAGCAAGAAAGGAATGAGATTTCACTTTACGGAATGTGGCTTTACAGAGAACTCAAAACCTAGCTGAGAAGGTTAACAAGCAAAAGACGAACATTCTGAATTAGTAAGTGCATTGTCAGGGACTGTCTACTCAAATCTTACAAAGCAATTTACTGTAGAGAGTTATAGGCCCAAGAAGTAGGAAACATAAAAGACTCTTAACTCTAAAAGCTCTATCGTACCAGGCTTTTATCGTTAATTCTTGGAAAAGAGACTAAAAATTCAGCAGAACCAGGTATGACACATAATGTGGAAGAAGATGGAGAGAAATATTTTGCAGTAGTTGTTAAAGCTGGGAATGTGCAAAAGAAGATGCTGTGATTTTGGCATCAAATTGTGGAATATTGTGGATCAGTAGTGATCACTGAGGTTTTTATTGTCACGCCAATGCACTTCATCTGAGTACCTGGGGGGTAGGTCTATGTTGCCTATATGCCAAAAATTACTATTTATGTAGTTTATCCAATGCCAACAGAGGACCCTGGGAATCCCAAAGGCTCAAACTAGACTCATGTCTAGTTCAGGGCTGTAAGTGGGTACCTAAGTTAAGAGAGTCTCAATTTCAGATGCTCAGCTCTCTTCATCATTTCTTATGAGCTGCTTTACACTTGTCACTGCACTCTGTGCTATAAATCTTGACATTCAGTATACATCCATGGAGCCAAAGCACCTAAATTCCACTCTCAGAGCTCACAAATGCTCAAGTGTTACTGCTCTGAGTCCCACGATGTCCCTTTGTGTATCTGGGCCTTGCTGTAATTAATAGCATTTGAAATAATATTGTTTCAAGGCACTTCTCGTGTTCCTTTAATGGGGGTAATTTGAGGACAATCTGAGGAGTGCTATCCTGAAAAATAGAGACATTTTGCAGTAAAAACATTGTCATTTCAAATATGGTGGTTTGTTCCCAAAATCTATAACTGCTGCAAGAAAAAAACAGAAACAATGTACTGAAATCTTCAGACCTTAAAACAACTGTAAGACATTGGTGTGCTCAATCATTATGTTTGCAAAATTTATGCTCTATTCCAGGCCATACTAAAAACTGTTTTAGTTTGGTTTAAAGAGGGTGAAATGAATGCCTTAACTGAGAGTCCATTATTTTGTGTTGTGGCAACAATATTGTTTGGAATATTTTATTTAGATTTCATTATTTAATTTCAGTCATCTGCTATACAAACTGGCCAGTGCATCTATGACCAAATGAGTGTTTACTAGCTGAAAACATTGTATAGAAATTCACAATTCATATGACTTGAATATGCAGTTTCACACACTATTTTACCCAGAGATCTGGCAGATTTGGTATCACTTCATCTAAAATGTAGGTCTAATGAGTACATTTATTTCTCATTTGCAAAAATTTAGTGTATTCATTTCAGTCAGTTCTCCAAAGAATTCCTCTTTTTTACCAGTGAATAACCCAATTTTCTCATCATTTCTACATAACAATGGCAAGTCATCTGGCAATAAAGTCCATTTGGAGAATGAATATTAAATTTTATATTAAAGCACTCAGTCATGAAACAAAGCATGTAGAATGGAAGACACTCTTATTGCTTATGCATTTAGTCACATCTTTTCCTAATAAGGTACCTCATTTAGGACATAATCCAACTCAGTGGAAAGGAAAGGCTTCCACTGATTTTGCTGGAACTCAGCTCAGTTATATACCTGCCTCTTTTCAACTGGTTGTGTGCACTAAGTAGGACACCATAGTCTTCAGGTTTACTTTTCGGTGAAAAGAGGCTACCATCATGTAGGTGATCTGGCCTGGAAAAAGGCATTGCTGTATTTCCCGATATGGAATTCTGCTCAGTAAAGTGGGGGTATTCATTTGTTTACGTGCTGTGGCTGCAAGCTGGCAGAAGAGCAAGTTTCAAGCTGCACTGCAATCACTACTAGAAAATATGTGGGAAACAGGACTTGAATCAGCGTCGCTTTTTCATTCCATTATTCTCAGGGAATCCATAGATCAGCCCATAACTGGCACACTCACCTATGATTTTTAGATGTAATCTTTAACACTGATCATCATATTAGAACATTTCAATAAAAATGAAGAACTTCTAAAATTGCATTTAAAGGTGGGATTTGTCCTGTTCATGCAACCTCTTGGGAAGTAATCTCCCATGATGGAGATTATACAATTCTTTGGCAGCAGTGCCCATAGTACACTGACATACAAGGAAGAGGAAACCCTTCAGTCTAGAATCCCTATGGGATGTCAAAGCAGATGGAAGATTCAAAACAAAAATATATATTTTCTCACACAAAATGTGAAACTGTGCAGCTCCTTCTTGGAAAAGGCTATAGATGATAAAGGTTTACATGGGTTCAAAAAAGTAATCGCACAAATTTGTGGAAGAAAAATCCATCAAGGCTGTTTAATAGAGACTCCAATTCTGCTTCAGAAAAACCTTAAATCACAAATTGCTGGAGGCTGGGAATGTATTCTGGAGAAATATCCCTAGATTGTTCTGATCTTATTCTGCTTCCTAAGTTCTGTTGTTACTAGCTGCCAGAGATTGTTGGTTCTCTGAAGGTTATCACAATCCAATGCAATTTCAAATGGATTAAACTAGAACTTAATACAAGGTGAAAAAGTAATCCACAGTCACTTGAAACCACTGCACATTCAGCGCACATTTCACACCAGAAGAATGTTACCCCTGCTGTACACAAGTTCTGCAGAAGGGGCTCATATTCATCCTATACACTCTCTCCCCATCATTGCCCAGATTTAAGCCCAGTAGAAGATTCAGTATCTTAGAAACAACTGGCAATTTAATGCCTAGCTTTATATCACAATAAATATCTTAAAAGAAAAATAAGGTCTACAACAAATAGAAATTCCATCTCACCTTTCAGCAATCCTCTAATAGTTTCCTGGGGCTAAGCTTCAAACCATCACATCCCATCAATGTTTCCAAAATGAAAACAGGGCAATAAATTGCCAGATAATAAAATGGTAAGACAGACAGTTAATGTTCTTCTGATTGACACATTTGTGGGTCAAATCACTTGGTTGCATGCACAGAGCAAGCTAGTTCACAATAACTGTAGTTAGAGTACTATATATGGAAATCTAACAGCATAGTTGAACCCAAAGTGCAACATTTAGAATTCACATAAAATAACTTCTATATTTTTAGGTTCAAGCATACTCACGTCATATAATCCACCGTCTGCACCACTTTTATGTACTGACAGGATAAGGCATACTTTGTTTGGCTGATTTTAATAAGCCCACTTCTTACACAGTGTTCCTGCAATAACACAATCATCATTCATCTAATTTAAATCTAAATCTCAGAAACAATGAAGATACATATGTATACAAAGTCAACTGTTTTAATGTAACTGTATTCAGTCTCTAAATAATTCAGATAAAATTTTCAAGTACAAAGTACATTTTCTTAATATGCACATGAAAAATGCAGTAAAATTATCATAATGGCTTACAAACAAACAAACAAACATAATGAAATGAATTGAAGACTATATTGAGAGTGATAAAACTCGCTATGTTTCTCATTTTAGCAGCATGGAGCTTGTGAAAGCCACCAAATGGATTATAGAGGAAAGCCCAGAGTATGATTTAAGAATAAATTATCCTACAGAATTTCTTGGTTCATGTCTATTATATCAGCTCTTCATCGAGCCCTGAAATCTGATTTACTTTGGTTAGCTGGAGACAAGGATCGGGACAGTGAGCTCATTAGCCTGGAAAATTGTATCTGCCTCATCAAAAATAGAACAATATTAATACCATTGCCAAATTGGTATCATCTTCTAGGATTACTTACTTTCTTGTTGTTGAACATCAGAACCGTGTAGAGTTTGTCACCTGTTTCCACCCTCTTTGGTGTTGCTATGACAATGGCAGGCACATAACATTCGTTTCCTGTCTGTGTCCCAGTTCTGGCAAACACATAGTCTCCAACCTGCACATAAGGAAAGCATCAGTTTGCAAGAACTGTGTAACTTGTGAGTTGTACAAGACAGAAAAGGTAAATACTAAGATATTTTCACATGAATCACCATTTTAACATGTTCCCATGTTTTACTATAGATCTTTAAAAGGAAAAAAGAAGGACGTGGTCCTTGCATGTACTGATCACTCACAATTTCCACTGAATCAGGGAATGGACACAAAGAAAAAATAAAGGACAGAGCCCTACTAAATGTACCAGGGCTCCAGTAGCAAGTTGAACTGAACGAGGAAACTCTTACAACTCTTCATTCCCTTGGACTTTGCACAAATTTATGTTTTTGATAAGCTTTTAACCAACCTTGGGAATTTTAGAGAATTCCATATGTAACTGACTTATACAAAATTTATTATTATTATTAATTATTTTTAAAATGAATACAGAGTCACAATTTTCTATCAAATTCTGCAGATCTTCTCTAGAGTTGGATGTTCCCCTTACAGAATACCAGGAACTATCGGATCAGGATTTGCCTTCATTTCAAACAGAAAAAAAGGTACATCTCTAGTTTTAAGTGTAACAAAACAGTTATAAAAATGCTTCTTGTATTCAAAACAGCTGTATCCATTCTGTACCCTTTCTGTACCCATCTTCTGTCTCATGTGTAAAATAAGAATCACAAAAAAACCCAACTATGATTACAGATAGTCAGCTGATAAATTTTAAATAAAAACAGAAATGGAATAAAGATTTTTTTTTTTATTATTACTGCTATTTGCCTCAGTATAAGGGTATCTGCTGGAGAAACAAATGCTGTGAAATGCTGTGAAAAACAAATGGTTATAACATGCTGTACATCACATTGTGTATAAAAGGCTCTCCTTGGTTCTATATGCTGGGAAACAATCATTCTGCTGGTAAATAGCTCACCTTTCTTCTATAGGTGATTAAATAAAAAAAAAAAAATAAAAATAATATAGAATCCTAATAAACAAAGGAATAGGGTTACAATGAAAACAAGCTCCAAACAACTGAAAAATAGTATGTTGAAAATAGCATGAGATTACTATCACTAAAAACTCCTCTTCAGAATAAATAGATGTATTTAAAAGATTTTTAAAAAATCCTTTATTCTATGTGTGACCAAATGAACAATTTGCTGACATGAAAAAATACAATTTTTCACCTGCAGATATGGGCATGGCATAGCACCTCCCACAGGTATAGTGAACTCCACAGGTACAACCCAGGTGTCCCCATTGCTGAAGTCAACAAATGCACAGGTAGAACCGATATTCTTTATCACAGTTCCTAAAAACCAACATAATAAAGTATTCAAATTATTTTTCTTTTACCCCTTGTGGAATTTTTTTTTAAAATCCCATAGGCTGTCATACATCACTGAGGTCAAATGTCTCTGTACTATACAGTCTCCATTTTCATTTAGCTAGGGTAAGCTGTGCTAGGGCAATAGAGAAATTTATATCTAAAAAAAATACAGTCAATAACCATTCTTAACACTGCCATAAAAATAAAATGAAGAATAGTTTTCAAGCCCAGGTCTGAAATTTGTAAGGTGGATCAGGTGGATGATTGTTGACATAATTAAACTATTACCACAGTTAAAAATATGTAATTTAAAAAACCAAACAAGTAAAGGTAACACAAAAATGAACACACATACACACACACAGAGACACATGATTTTTTCTACAAAATAACAGAACACAATTTTACCTACTAATCATTCTGGCTCAAAACTCAGCAAAAAGGCAGAAGCTTTTAGCGAATCTTTAAACACACGCAAAAGCTCTGCTTTTGCTAAACACTCAACAGAAACATTCAAGGCAGACACCAAAGAGGGATAGGTTGATACTCTCGAATAGTCAGTAACTTAAAAGGATTTCCTTCCATACTCTTCTTATATAAATGTATCACTGCTTTCTATCTTTACAAAGTGTATGTCTTTTTATAAATGTATATATGTGCACACACAAGATATATATTCATTTTTCATCAATATGCACGTGTAATATCAAATCTGATTAAGGCAGAAGTAGCTAATTATGACTAAAACTAATGTTTTATCAGTATTAAGAAACTTTAAAATGTGGACAAAAACATATACCTGGATAATAAAATCCTGTGACATCTGATCTTGCAATCACCTTTTGGCATTTGTGAGTCACAAGTACTTCGTCTTTTTGTCTTTTTTTAGACTTTGACTTCACAGTTTCTTCTTCAAGTCTCTGTAATTTGATACAATTATTTTTTCCACAACAGCTAAGGCAGTCAGACTCAAGCTATTCTTTGGAATTAATTAAAAATTTAGGCAATGTAATGTTATGGCCTCTGCAGATAATTCACGGTAAACTGGAATTATTTTAAACATTCAGAATAGTTACAAACAGAGGAAGAAATGTTACAGGAAGTACTCATGGATAAGATCACCCAGGAGTTTTCACTATAAAATCCTGTTTTACATGGTCATAACAATACTTATATTTTCAAGTGTTCAGGCATAAATTTACCTTGGCCAATTATGGCTCTGGCTGCCATTTTCCTAGAAAAAATTTTAAAAAGTTGTACAATTCATATTCAAGGATGAGGTAAGGAAAAATCAACTGATTTTGCAGAACAAGTGAAGGTGCTATACACATTCATGTTGTCCAGACAGGTGAGTCTTCACGATGATCTTATTTTCATTAGAAGTACCTCACTGTATGGAATGACTGATTAGAAAAATCAAATATAGAATTTAAAAAAAATAAATCTTGAAGTGTCTGAAAAAATTGGGTTTTTACAAAATATAAATTCAAAATTAAAATTTTCAGCAGTTTTAAAACTTTCCAGTTTAGCAAAATATTATACCACATTTTCCCGAGCTGCCACTGTCCATCATTCTGCCCTGCTAGTTTGGGCTCTTCATGCACTAATTCTCCTCTTTGTGGGGCAGCTCCCCAGACTCCAGTTCCTGTAATGTACCACAGCCACACAGAACACCGGAGCTTACTGTTGAATTGCTCATAAATAACTCTGGGGGACCACGCACCGGGTGGTGAGAATAGAAATACCAATGGGGCTGGCTGGCTGTGGACCAACTCAACTCCTGGTTGAAGTCAGTGGCTGGAATCAGTAGTAACAGAATGAAGAATGCAAAAAGCATGATGGATCTTACACAACAACTGAGGCAGAGGGCCGTGAGAAACACAGTATGTGAAAAATAGTCACACACTCACAAATCACAAGTGGCTTTATGTAAAAATATACTATCGAGCTTTCCGAGCTTCTGTGTACTTCACTTCACAGTCACCATATTCTTTTACCTTAAAGCCTTCTGTATTTCACATTAACATTTTATAGAGTCTTAGTTTTATCTGCCTTTAAACTAGATCAAATTCCTGAATCCCTTTTTGTCTAGAAGAAAGAATTTCTTCCCATTCAGGGCATCTCTCTTACAGGAAGTTCTGAGAGGATCAGAGTATTATGTGGGTATGTCAGAATGTGAAAAAACACTTTACATTTTGCTTTCCTAAGAAAATTAAGAAAACTGATGATATAAAAACATTTTCTTTCTAATATTGAAAAGTCCATAATCCCAGTATTTTTATAAGTACATTTTAATAATGCTCGAGAACAACTCCATAATTTATATTTACTACAACAACAGCAAATTAATTCTTGAAAAAGTCTCTTATTTTCTCCATACTGCTCACAATAATGTTTCTAAATAGAAATTATAAGCAACCGCAAAGTTAAATAAATCTATTTCCCCATTAATTTTTAAAACACATATTTATTAGCCTACTTCGTAAACAATTTGCAAGCATCCATCTCTTGTACAGTTCCTTTGAATCACAAAACCACACAGCTTGAAATCTCAAACTTCTCCACAGATCTACACACTGTTCTGAAAAACAACTATAACTCACGGACTCCTAAAAGCCTCTGCTCGCTACGGTGTGTACAACCTGCTTCCTTGTCTGATGGCATTTTTCTTCCTAAAAAGATATATTTGATTTTGATACTCGATTTTCCCTAACAGTCAATAATGATGGAAAAGCTGGGAATACCTTTGACTAAACTGTTTGTTCTTAGATTCACTATAACTATCACAAACTCTTTTTTCCAATCTCTCCCCCAAAAATCACAAACAACCCTAAAAAAAAAGGTCCTAAAATAAGCAAAACGCACACAAAATAAGGCAGAGAGATATTTAAAATGGAAGATATGTAGGGGGTTTCTAGTTTATTCTTTACCCCTGTAGAATATAAATGATATCAACAGTTCTGTTTTCCAAACTCCATCTAAACGAGAGGCTCTTCACAGTGCTTAACTGACTGAAGTACAACCTAACAAAGGCTGATTTGAGTCAAAGACTTACAGCTCCACAGACACAAAAAGGTATTTGGGTAAACCATTTACTTAATTCCTCAGGCTCCAAAGGGACAGCTGCTGCTGAATATTTATTATCAACTAATTTGTAATGCTTGACTAATAACTTGGGCAACTTCCAGCACTCCCCATTAATCCAAATGCTAAAGACTGCGCCGGCATCCACAATGAGGACGCCGAGTCCTGCAAAATTCAGGTGGCTCCAAAATACTGTCTAAATTCAAATCCATCTCTCCTTCCTCTCACATAGCCTTTAGGTGTCCAGCGTGATTGACCCAGACACTGTCAGAGTGCCCATTTCTGGGATATCGTTCTCCAGTATTTTTATTACAAGAGTCCCGTCTGATTCTCAGGGATTGTCACCCTGTTAGCTCTGCTTCTGTTGAAGGCAATGCATTAAACCATGTGAGGTGACGGAGACTTTGTTTACCTCTGCCAATACCAGCTGTATTTTTTAATTCCCTTTCAAAGAGATTAGTTTTTCCATTTTCCTACTATAGGCAAGAATGGATAGGAAGACTGTCCACAGATCTCCATGTACCTTGGCTCTAACTTTGGTTTTTCACAATCCTGACACCTCCAGAGCCAAGCAACCACTGCTTTTCCTAGGCTGTCAGTGGCAACAAACCCATTCTCTGTAGACCACAGTCCATTTTTATGAAAGAGCCTAACCTTTTGTAGCTACACGCTGTCTGTCCAGCAGGTTACTTCACTGACGACAATGGAAAATTTGACCAAACATTTCTAGGTTATTATAACTTTTTTGTTGTTGTGCTATTTGGGATGTCCCTTGTCTCCCTAAAGAGACACAAGAACAAAGGCATGAGATGCCAAGCTGTTTAGGAAACATATGAATGCAAAAAGGTATCAACAGACAGCAATTATGATCCTCAAACAGTGAGGAAGAATGAGGACTGTAAGAAATTGGACAGCAGGAAATAGAAAAAACTGCCAAGGGAGATCCAGAATTTCCATTCTTGTAAAGAATCGAGTCTCAGCTATAAATATTTCATTAGGAATAATTAAATCAATTGTATATGAAACACATTTTTCAGAAAGAGCAGACTCAATGAGCCACTAGAGGTCCCTTTCCACCAAATAACCATGCTTTACAAAACACATTATGCTTAACTATTTTAAGTTATTTTTAATCACATGGTGACCACTCAGCAGGGTCACAAACAAGCATAAGCCTTGCATGTTTGAGCTCATCCTAAGGGAAATGCAGTACTTTTAAAAGAATATTCTTAATGTGATTTAATCCTTAGGAATGAATGCAGCTTTATTCTTCTGCAGAATCTGAAGTCCATTCATATGCAGAAGCAGAAATATTTAGTACAAGAGGAAGTGTTCTCCACTACTCTCAAAGGCCACATTATAACACTGGGGAAAGAAATACTTTACATGAAGATGTTACAGCCATTAACAGAATGCACAAAACCATCCTGGAAGCTATCACGCTTGGAGAATAGTAATGCCATGACCCCGGTAGACCTGAAGTTGTCTAATGAGAAGTGGGTAGTGGACCCTGAACAATTCCTTTTACTAGGTGACATCATGTTGTAAACAGCTTTATAATTCAGTGAGAAAAAAACATAATAAGAAATGATGGCTGACTGTTATGCCTGACAAGTTCAAATTAGAAAACAGATATAGTATTTTAGGTCAAAGCAGTTTCTTGTTAGGAAAAAACAAGGTAAATGACACATTCCTCATTTTTAATATCTTTAGATGAAAGCTGAGTGCCAGCCTAGAGAGGAAGATTTTTGTCAGCCCGTGCTTCCGTACAGCAAAAGGAATTTAGTAAACTGAGTAAAATACAGTCTACAATTAGCCCTTCAATTAGGTAATCATCAACATTCAGTGGTTTGTATTTTGCCTGATAACAACTAAATGTGTTTGCTTATTTCCCAAAGCATTCACTTCTTGCATCACTAGAGGTCTTCAGTCATCTCATGGCCCTGTGCAGATGGATGTCTGCTTCATCCTCCTCCAGTAAGACACTGGCATACCCTACCTGTCACAGAGGTGTGCAAACACAGCAACCTGAACACAACTCCCAGAGAAGGTCAGAGCACAGAGGGAGGATAACCAGACCATTAATTCAGTTGTAGGCTTAAACAGAAAGCTCTCGTAGCAAGGACATCCAAAAAGGATTACTAATTCTTTTAAAAGCTAAAAACTAAGGGGTTTGATTTTGAATTTAGTGGTAAAAAAATTAGCAGGAAATTTTAAAGTCTGCTTTGTTGAGTAGACTTCCAGGATAATTGTGATTTTTTTTTACCACCTCGCAATGGCAATTTTCATTCAGTGCCATATCAGCAATTTCCTTGCTGTAATGTATTTCAGCTGGTAGTTTATTCTTTAATACTCATTTTGTAGACGGACATCACAGTTGGAAAAACCTCTGACAGCATTTTTAAAAGGTTCCCCAGGTTTTTTCCATTTTTTTTTCACTGTTTTTTCCACCACATAAACAGAACTCTTAATTACATCTGCATTTCTGCCTCTCACTCCTAAAGCCTTTCAGTTGCAGATTAGCAATTACTGAAGATGGTGCACTGATTAGGCTCCTAAAGCAGGTTGATTCAGGATAAGTGATTGCACAATGTTAATCACATCATGTCTGCGAGCACACATTGGTTGTTTCAAGGCAACATTAAAATTACAGTCAACAAATGAAACATGAACATGTTTCTGCTCCCCTTGTATTGGGACACTATACAGCAGAGGTAAATCAATAATCAAAATAGCTGTATTAGCAATGTCATATTTTCAGACTAATGTAAAATAAATCAAGATCATCTGGTTTTAGAAGACATTGTTTTCAAATGTACAGTCTTTGTGGAAAAAAATTCTCAAAAACTACAAAAAATTGAATGTGATCCTTTCCATAATCACTTACTTTCATACCTGTCTCGTGCTATCATAACATATTCTATTTAATTGAACACAAATAATTTTTTTATAACTTATGCCATAGTATGCAAAAGGTCACAGCTCATTGTGAAAACTATTGCTGATCTCAATGAAAAGAGAGGTATATCTCAGTCAAGGAATGTCAAATAAACAAAACAGATTGGGTATACTCTGGTAAGCAGAGAATATGGATACTTGGCATAATTTAGAGTTATAAATTCCAATTGTACGTTCCCATTCATTGCTGAGAACTCACAGTTTAGGTTTGTACTGTGCTCATTTGAGTTTCACTTCGCTTACCTCTTCAAATTGATGTATTGTATGTTGTGTATATATATAATACACACATATTTGTATAAGTATACATGCATACATCAGGGCAAAAAAGAACTATTATGATCATTTGATTGTGCTTCCTACATAATACAAAGCACAGGACTTTCCTCAGCATTCACTGCAACCAGGTCAACCACACCTTTAAGTTCAGCCAAAGAGTAGTCTCCCTCACTCACTGATATAAAACAATGAACAAGAACAGGAATATATTAATATGAGATTTATGATTAATTCTCTATTTGTTTTACTTACTGTCTATTACAACTTAGAGGTCCGAGAAAAGATTTTCTTTCTTATTAATTTCCTAGTGAGCTTATTTTAATATTATCACAGTACTACTCTACATAGACCGCAGTTCTGCAGAGGCAGCAGCACTCCCAGTTGGAAGCGCTGTTTCATGAAGATTTTAGATGAAAAAACTTGAAACTAAATAAAAGAAATGGTTTGAGTTTTTCAGAGGTAAGTACTTTGAATTTTAAAGCATCAATAGTGTATACAGAAATCTTTCCATTGGGGAAGATTAAATCACTTTTAAAAACTTAGAAGTCTGTTCTTCATTTCCCTGAGAATTCATACTCGTATCTTGAAGGCAAAACCATTAAGGTAGAATCAATTCACTTTCAAGAATGTTCTGAAAGAGTGAAAATAATAATAGGAGAATACTACTTTGTAACCTAAGATACGTTTTCTGACCATGTATATCACCAAAGAAAAAGGTAAAATGAAAGAGTATATTCTCTCTTGCAATAGGGCAGCCTAAAATAATTTACTAGCATTATTTTTATACTTGCTGCCTCATGTATTTCCATACACATTTCATTAAACCTCTCAATAGCATTCCAAGTAAAATCAGAGGTTCATGTGGGAGACATACATATATATTGATCAAAAAGCACAAACTTCAATCACAGTTTCAGAGTAGCTAGACTACTTTCTGCTAATGTATTCATGGAGTGGAGAGAGCACTCTGGATCGCCAAAAGTAGGCGTCCACTTCAGGATGAGCTCCAGATGCCCCTGACTCCATGCGTAATACTGTGAGATTAGCCACCAGTTCATGTATGCCAATATTTTACAAACAGCTAGATTTTAGCATCCAAATATGAAGCTGAATCCCACCTCTTCTCTCCATCTTTTCTTTTACAGGAAAGATACCATAGAAGATTACAGTGAATTACTCTAACATTACAAGATCTTTTATTCCTGTTTATCAGATATTAACCCAACCACAAATCTTAAATCATAATTGCCTTTAATATAGCTCTTCTTTCTCTTCTTTCACATATATCTATGCTGTCGCATATATCTCTACTTTGCTCAGATTTGTTTCTAAAAGGCTCAACTTCTGTGGTGCTCTCAGCTCCAGAACTTCTCCTTCCCCAATACTTCGAAGTCATTGAAAGTTTGCTCTCTTTTTAACTACCTTCTTTGCTCTATCCATTTGTATAACAAGATGCTAAATGCCTACTTTATCAGCTATAATCATGGAACAAAATTATTCCAGGAGCACATACTGAAGAGGAATATCGAGGGGGGTGTGTGAAATCCCTTCCAATCTATTACCTTTTTATTGTTGCTTGAGCTTTTCTCACTTTCCTTTTTGACAGCTTCCTGAAGATCAGAGGCCTGTTGTATGTATGTTAATGCTGCCACTATCTCGTCTTCTATCAACATCACATCTTCATAGGAAATTGGCCATCCCAAATTCTCTAAAGCCTCCAGCAAATCTTCTTTATGCTGCATATATTGGATTGGCCGATCCTCTTTAAATCTTAAAAAAAAATAAATTAAAAAGATCAGTAATCACAAGTAGGAAAGATTTTAATTTTGGCAGTACTTTACAAACAGAATCACAAAGCTGAAAGGCAGAAAAAAACATCAGATTCATTCAATCTACCTTTTATAAACTACCATAAGTTCTTGTGTTTCATCCAGCTACTGTTGTGTTTAATCAAACAATCACATCTGGCTTAACCATATCTCATAGAAAGACATCCATGGAGCAATTCAAATGGCTGAGCATAGATGTCTGGTGCCATTTTTAGACACTGAGGTGCTGGAGTGTGTCCAGAGAAGGGCAACAAAGCTGATGAAGGGTCTCAAGGGTAAGCCTTATGAGGAGCGGCTGAGGGAGCTGGGGGTGTTTAGCCTGGAGAAGAGGAGGCTGAGGGGAGACCTGATCACTCTCTACAATGACCTGAAAGGAGGGTGTAGACAGGTGGGGTTTGGCCTCTTCTCCCAGGCAACTGGTGACAGGACAAGAGGGCACAGTCTGAAACTGCACCAGGGGAAGTTCAGGCTAGAAATGAGGAGGCATTTCTTCACAGAAAGGGTGGTTAGGCATTGGAATGGGCTGCCCAGGGAGGTGGTGGAGTCCCCATCCCTGGAGGTGTTTAAGAAAAGACTGGACGTGGCACTTAGTGCTATGGTCTAGTTGACATGGTGGTGTTAGGGCAAAGGTTGGACTTGATCCCATAGCTCTCTTCCAACCAAATTGATTCTGTGAGTCTGTGATTCTGATTTTACATGTCCCTTGAATATGTGAGGCATCAATAAAGAACTTCCAGATATGACTAAGAAATTATGGAAATCCCTGGCCCTTCTGGAGCAGCACCTAGTGAAGCAGCAAGCACCTAGACAATCTAAAATGGCACCAGAGACCTACTAAATCCTGATTTGCCACATCAGTCTTGACTGATCACATAAAAAAGAGACAAAATCTCCTGCTGTTTATTCCTCTGTCAGTCCTGTACCACTCAATTTCACTCAGTGATCAGGAGTTTGCTTCCATCCATAGTTCAGATTGTGTCAATGTCCACTAGACTAAAGAGCCAGTTTGAAGCTACACACTGAAGGTACTTACAAACCGAAAGGTGAATTAGATACTGTCATCTTGTTGATAAAAAACAAACAAACTGAACCCTCCAAAATCCAGAACAGGTAGAATTTTTTACCTCTCCAGTTGGAAGTAACATACTTCTTTTTAGTACCCAAAAAGTAGCTCTTTTGTGTCTCTTCTCTACAGCTTTGCCAACATTTAAAAAAACATGAAACCTAGAACTGGGGAGAGTACTTAAGTATCTGTCTTACCAACACATACAGCCATGGTGATGCCTACCACGTTGCCTACTGTTTGCCACTGCTTATCTCTCTACTCCTCTAAGAACTGCTTTGTATTGAAATTAACCTGATCAGTATAGTTTTTACCTAGATTTTGTTCTCTATTACCTAAATCCATTATTAATTTATAATCATCGTCAAGATAATTTATCTCCTGAGTTAGATCTCTCAACCATTTTGAACACAAGCACAATATTACCACTTCTCTAGCAAATTTGAACTTCCCTAGTATCTGAGATAACAATTTAATACACAGTAGTGAACCAGAAAGCTCCTCAACCAATTATTTCAGGACTCTTGTGACCAAGTTAGTAGACTTTGTTTATTACCCTCTCCTTCCAGATTACTAATTTTGAAAGTATGTTGTCATGCTTTCGTAATACATCAATGTGATCATTCAAATTGTAAATTTAGAAAAGAAATAGATCAACTATTTCAATTTCTATGCACCAATATTAACAATTTTAATACGCACCTCTAGCAATAGACAGTACAATTGCTAGGACTTCTTTTTTTTCTTATCTACATAATTGGCCATATCTTACCAACAATAAAATATTTTAGATACCACCTTGTCAAATTTCTATACTGTCTACCAACAGACATCTATTTTCTTTTTTTCATTATATGCTGTTCTTTTGTTTAACAGCCTTTCCTTCCTCTCTGTACCAGAATGGGGTTTTAGTTCTCCTTACTGATGATAGAACTGTGTATTTTTTGCTCATTAGATTAAGTCTTCTTAAAAGCATTTTCGTTTTCTTTGCCATTTTTCTGCCTAGGAATATTTCATGCCCATTCAGTTTTCATTAACTGGTCTTCACTTTATTCTCCGAAGTAAACAGACCCTAACTTCACTGATGACAGTCTTGTTTATACAGTCACTAGTTTTTTAAATCAATATACAGAAATAAGCTAGTTAAAGTAGTACAAACCTTTAGTGTGATATACAACCCAGCCACTGAAATGATCTTTACCAAATGATAGAAGATTCACCTTGATGCCAAAGGCAATGACATGCTGCCCTCCCAAGGCCGTGCCACTTGACACTGATTAAGAATAGACCAGCACCATTCAAATGGAATGCAGGCCCTTCCCTTAAAAATAATCAGCACTGCAAGAAGGGGATGTCCAGTATTTAATATTACTCCATATCATATATAAATTTTTGAAAGTATGGTATATAGTTACAAAATATTTGAAAATAAAACCAGTTGGTTACAGAAATAGTGATAAAACAGTATCAAATATTTATGACCAGCCTTTCAGAGGTAAGTTAGAAAACCAAAAGGTGATAGCTTACTTGTCTCTTTCCTCCTGAGATAGCGCTCTCCAAATAACTAGGTTTAGGCGCCTATTAAAGAAAGTAAAACAGTTTTTGAGGGAATTCGGTTCCTTGTGTATCTGATCATCTCACAACTAGCAAATAAACATAGAGTCTTAAGATATCTGCACTGATTTGTATTCCAAGAGCACTGTATCATCAAATTGTATCCTTATCATTCAGCTATGAAATTATCAACTGCAAGAGAAGATGGGAAAACAGCATCTTCCATCAAGTAGCAGCATGACTATTTCAGGGTCATAGAAGGATTAATGGCAATCACTGCTGCTTCCTGCCAGGATTTTCTATGGATGGTTTTCTTCAGCACCAGCAAGCTAAATCAAATAACAAAACTGATTAAATGCCAGTTAAGCTAAGCACAGTTCCTCCAATTAAACAGTTTCAGAAAACTATAGCCTGAAGACACATGGAGAGCAATGCGTTTGCTTTGTTTTTTTTTCTCTGCTAAGATAACCCCTCAGTTGTACCATTCAGGTTTCTACTTCATTAACTCTGGCTGTGAAGAAAAACTACTGACAGGAAAACAGAAGTGATTATCCTGAAGTAATGCAGTTCTGAGATCTTTTGAAAGCACCACTAAACTTTCTGCTTTCCCTTTTTAGACATAAATTATAAAGTCTTATAGATCCTCTAGTTTACAGTTTTCTCTATTAATATCTCAAACAATTAAGCCATCACTCAATTACTTCATTTTGTACTATAGAAATAAACCTCTACTGATGATCCTAATTGCTGTAATTCTAGAAAAATGTCCAAACTTCCTTTGGAAATACAAGAACAAATTCATTGTTAGGAAAAATTCTGATTGTAACCATTAGACTTTTAACAGCCTTGCCAGATTTATTGGTGCATGTACAAAAAAACCTCATTAACACCAGATTTGGAATATTAATTTCTTGATGATTCGTTTTATCTACTAGAAACCAAACCCCAGCATTTTTAGAATGTAAATTACTTAGTTCATTCACAATCTGCAGTCTCAGCATGCTCCACTGCTTATTTCAAACTTCTAAATGTGCACACTCATAACTAACTCATTTGTAAAAGCTTCTGGCTATACAAGATCATACACATTTTGAAGCTTTCAGCATTTTTCTCCTTCAATACTGGATATTCTCTTTGTCAGAGCACAAAATTTCTGCCCTCACCATTTTTCTCCCTCTAAATCTGACACTAAGGTCAATCTACATACAGGGAAGATATTGTCATGCTTGCTTCTGTTCTTGAAACCTGCATGCCCTGACGTATTGTCTCATCTATAGATGTCAGAATAAATTTGTGACCAATCACTATTCACAAAGCTGAACTGCAGCCTTTACAAATTCAATTACTGGAAATGTACTGTGCCATTTAGAGCAAAATAAATTTGACTGGGTTGCTGTTTCACATGCAAAGGAAAAGCAATGAGAACTCTTTCTTACATTGTCAATTATAAGGATCTTCAGGCAGATCTCTCTTCTATACATCTTTTTCACAGAAGCAGGGAACTCAGTCCTACTATAGTAAATACACTGATGCATTGACCTCTATGGGTAAACATAAGTAAACACTACTCCCAATCAAAGTTTTAGGGTTTCTGTGAAAATGCTGTCAGTAGAAGATCATCAGAATTTAACCAGAAAACACTTTTCTCTCCCTCAAAATTGAAGTCAATAAATGTAAAATATTCAATGGTAAGGCACAGCAATGAAAAACTTGAATTTTTTTCAGAAATCACCATCAAAAATACACCACTTGCACCTTCTATCAAAATAAGTGATGAGTCCAGATTACTATGAGTTCTTCATCAGCCTGATACTAATAGTATGGTCTCAGTGACACAGCACACAAAACCAATAGATTTTTATTCACTGAATTCCACTAATATTAGACACAGCAAGCAGCATTTGCAAATTGTAATTCTTGATTTTTATCACAAAAGATGGATACATTTAGAAATAGGAAATGGGAATGAAAAACAGAGTTATTACATGCTTTAAAAAGAACTGGTACGATCACAGAGTTACAGAAGAAAAAAAAAAACCTTAAAGGGCCTCAGTGGAATTCATCAAAAACCAAAGACTAAATGCTTGTCATCAACGTTTTTTTGGTCATATAAAATAATTACATCTGTAAATGTTATTAGAATACAGCCTGAAAAAGATATCTTATTTATTAAAACAATTCTAGTCAAAGTTGTCATAAGGTTACTGAATTACATTAGTAGTCAAATAACTGCATTACTTAAAAAAAATGCACAAAGTTAGATCAAGGAAAGAAAGAGCTCAGTGATCTAATGTCTTTGTCCTGTTTACTTCTGATGTGCTTTTACCGACATTTAATTAATAAGCACAATACATCCCTCAAAAAAAAAATAATTAAAATTGTCAGTATTTTATAGACGCCTCAGTTACATTCTTGCATCCATAATTAAGTGCTAGGCAGCTGGCAGCATAAAGCAGGCCACTAATTTAAATGTCAGTCTATGGATTTAGGAGTTTAATTGTAAGTTAAAAGTCTGGCTAGCACTGTACGTTTAGGGGAGATTCCTCTCCAGGGATGATTGCTTCCAGGTTTATTCCCAGAAAGTAAAAGAATTTTTTTTTTGTCATTGAACAAACATAATATAAGCAACATGTTTTTTATTCTCTCCTTGCCTATTATCTGTTTTTTCATTCTGGTGGTTTTTTTTTTTTTTTTGAAGAAAATAAACATTTCTCCTACAGGTTGATGGTGGATTAAGGTGTGTCAATGTGCAGAATTACCAGTATTGAGCAAAGCATGTGCAAGCAAATACCCACTACCTAAGAAAAATCTGAAATTAGATTGCAAATATGATAAATTTCTGATTAGTAGACTTGCCTTTCATAGGATTTAATGGCTTGTTCCAGCTTCTCTTTATAGGCATCAAGATTCACTGCCTGAGGATTAATTAGTGTGATCCGCTTCTTGTCGTTGCTAACATGGGCCAAGGGTAACATCTAGCATACAATAAAAGAAAATACTTCATTTATCATACAACTTTTCCTCCACCAGAATAACTGAAGGCCCATGAGTCCATGTCCGAGGATCAGAACAGCCAGAAGGAACACTGGAAGGCTGCAGAAAGAAAGATCTGAGCACCTCAAGCAAATGTCAGAATTAAGACATAATTTCCAACCTGTTAATAAAGCCTTCTGAAATAATACAATCCCTTTATGCAGAAGCTGCAAATTAAGATTCCTAACTACTAGTTAGTTGTAAGTAAATCAGTACTGTCAAGCAATTCCCTCTAATAATGGAAGGGTAGGTCAGAAGGGAGACAAGCATGCCTAGATCATTACCATATTCCAGACTGTATTGCTTTAAAACAACACTCACTTGTCAGCATCTCATGCTAGCATACAGGCGTGACAGTTACTTCTTTAAGTGTATTAAATACTCTTATTCTTGAGGACCATATTTTCTAAGGAATTAGAGTACTAAAGATGGAGAGAGACATTTTTCACCATCACACTGATCACCAAAGAGTGAACAAGCCCGATATTGCTCACTGAAACTAGTCTTAATTAAGCACAATAAGGCTTAGAAACCTAACCAGGTTGGTCACAATCAGGAACTTCAATACCTTTCAAATTTCACAATACATCACCATACAAATTTCACAATCTACATGTCAACTTCATTATAAAATAGAAACATACACTTACAAGTAGATCTTCAAAAGGCAGAGAGAAGAGTAGAAAAGCATGATAGAGAGGAGGAAAGATGCCTTCCCATTTCTCAGTCCAAAGTCCCACCATCCTTCAGCCTCTTAAATTACTCTAGTGGTTTGTATAAGAAAAGCTATTTTATGTATCAATGCCTGATGATGATTATAAACAGAAAAAATCCAAGAAAGAAATGGAGAATATGGAGAATGGTTGAGTGGGAAGCTTCTCCAAGTGCCTGTCTGAGAGCAGGATATAGACAACAAAAAGATGGATGAGGTTCAATTCAAATAAAACTAAAACCCCTGTTGGGGGAATAAGGCAAACAATCAGAAAATAAAACAATAAAAAGACTTCTTTAATTGAGAACATTTTCTGGTGATGTTTTATTTGTGTTTGAATCATCACAGCCTAGTTGGATTCCAAATTACTGCTGTATGACCATTTTTTCAGGAGCAGTGGTGTGACTTTATATTCCTCTCTCTTTCTGAGGATGTCTTCTCTCTGATTAATAAATCTGTGTCACATCAGTGCCAGACCACATCAAAGCTCCTAATACTAAATTAATCTTATGATCGCTTAGAAGCTAAAGTTGATGGGAACATGTCAGTGAAGTACCTTGCCAGAGACAGATGAGGTAAATCTCTGCCCAGAACTGTGAGCTGTGAAATCTGGCTAGCTGTCATTTCCAGGTGGAGTTGGAAAGCTGAAAGGCAAGGAACTGAGAGTAACCCTCTTCCAGTTCCATACTGCCATGGTTGTTGTCTGCTATGTTACTGAAACCAAGTTAACAAAAGTTCAGCATGGCTTCACCATGTAGAAGCCCTCTCCTACATTCCCTTACAAATTCCCAGAGCATCCCCAAGTATAAACAGCATCATTTGCAAAATGAATATTTAATATAATTTAGAAAAAAAACTTTGAATAGAATATGAGGGGCAAACATAAACACATTACTACAGTATTAAAGTATAAAACCGGAACAGAATGTATTCTTAGCAAATAGTAAACTTTAAATACTATGCATACTTTGAGAGCAAGGAAAACTGCTCATGAAGTCAAGTGAAATTTGACAGATTCAGCTGAAAGAAATCACAGGGAAGATTTTTAGTGTCAAAATGTTTTGTCATTTTCTAAATTAAATACTAAAACTTTCATATCAAAAAAATTCACTTGCTTCACAATGACTTTTATTTCAAAATCAAAATTTCAACCTTTCAAAGACAAAATCAAAGCACAATAACCCTAGAAAAATCTTTCTTACTTTAGACCAAAGATGTTTTTGTTGACTGAATCTGAACTTGATTCTTTTGAGCAAAGCATTGAGTCAAAAATCCATGACTTGCAAAGCTGTACTTAAGATGCCACAACCTGCAACAGATACTCACATGATTCTATAGGGAAGGTTTGCTCCAGAACTACCATAGCATAATTTAGACAAGCCCCCAAGTCATTTTTTTTTTTCTGGATATGAATCTGATGAATTAACCTCTTTGAAATAACTCAGGTGAAACCAACAGGTCACACAGAACTGAAAACAACAGGTCAGCCTCTTGTGAATGAACAGTTGTCATGGAAACCTTTTGCTTGCTGCATCTCCAAGGTTAGAAAACTGCTCATAGTTACTCTATCATCACTGCTAGCAAAGGCCAAAAATAAAAACTATACTATCCACAGAATGGATGTCTGCATCCCACACCAAGAAAACTAAGATCTCAGAAGGAGGAATGCAAAAATGTCTGTACATTTATTATCTTCAATGAAGTCCTCTGAAGTACCGAACAGTCAAGATTCTTAATCAATTTGTTAATGTCTCTTATTCAGGCTCTATGTCTAGTCTCAGAACCTATTTTCTGCTTTTCCTTTATAAGCTTGAGGAAGAGTGGGTTCTATACCTCATAAATTCTACTGGTTCACCTCATGTGCAACCCCTAAACATCTTTTTACTTTCTATACTCTGCTTCAGATCCAGAAAACTCCATGCCTCTACACATAGAACAATAATTCTCCACTGCCTGAGAAACTGAATGTCTCTGTACAACTAATGGGGAGTAGCAGGTATGAAGAAGTGGTAAAAATTATATATTATTTTGTGTTTATATCCCTGAATCTAAAGAAAGCCCATGGATCACTGTTTGGATTCTGTACAGCAGCTGCTCATTCTAAGAACATTGAACTTAATTCAGCCCTGAACTAGTCTACCATAGGCTCCCATGAACTGCCATTAAAAATTAACTGTACATAGCACTTGCGGAATCATAGATTTGACTATTTGCCAAAGACCACTGTTTTACAGACTACTGTTTTTGCAAATAGCAGTTCAAATGCAGTTCAGGATTGTCTGGAAAGGATTTGAAGGATCTTCATTTAGAAACATGGAAGACAGAGCTCTACTTAGTAGGTGTATTCAGAAGAAAATGAGAAAAGAAGTGACTGCTCAAATATCAGATGTAAGAGTTACATGAAAGTCACAGTGTCTTTTGTTTGACATTTCACTTACAGAAGATTGTTTTGTACAGTTTTGTAATAATTGTCTGGGTTTTTTTAAATGGCTATTTTACATCTGAAACGTTAAAGTATACATTTTTAATGCTTTTGCATACCAAAAAAAACTCACACTTCAAAAAAATCCTTAAAGATTTTGGTTTTGACTTGGTTTTACTAAAACAGAGGATCTGGTTTTGCTTCCACAGTCTGCATGCTATAGCAAAAATTCCCATTCCTAAATTTAAAGAATATGAAAACTTTAAAATGTACGAATGTGTACATTTGTTATAAATTTTTTACTTAGCTTTATATCACATCCTATTACAAAACCCTTGCTCATCCCTTATTATTTAAACAGGTGCTGTTTAGCTTTTTCTTTGAGCATTGTTTAAAGAAACAGTTTTTATTAGTCAAAACAAGCTGAGACATATTCATACGACTTTCATAGGATGCATCACACAAGAAGAATTAGAGCAACTTGCCACAAAATTGATTTCCTTTAAGCAGAATGGCAATTAGAGCTTCATGATACACAATTCGTCATGAATTTTGCACAATCTTACAATTGTCTACATCTATCAGAATTAAATTTTAATTACTGAATTCCAATACTTTTCAAAAGGTCTTAGTAGACACCTGTAAACCTTCAGAATGCACAAATCCACAAACTGTGCACCCGCACAGTTTTCCAAATGACTTTATGGACCTAAAATACATACTCCAGTGCGTTAATATGTACCAGTAGAGGCTGTGGTTCTCAAGGAACTGCTGAACACCTGATGGCCGCACACTGCCATCAGCTGGTGACTGAAAGAAAAATTTATAGCTCTAAAATGTAAGGGTAAAGTCTGCAAGAAATACTGTTGACTATCAATCAGTTTTATCTTCTTACTGATGCATGAATGAACATTCAGATATGCATTATACATTTAGTGCACATCAACCATCTACAATGAATCCTAGAGAATGCAATTATGACATTTATAGAAATGAATAAAAAAATCTTTTTGAAAACAGTACCAAGTTTTATGTTTTCTTTGAAACAGCATAAGAGTTTTACCTTGTCAAATACTTTAGAAACTACATGCTTGTCCAGAACTGGGACGTATTTGGTATCATGAGGAATGGTTGTAGGAGCTAAGACATCCATGATGGTGAGTCGCCTAGCAACCAAGCCATGGGTCTTTAACCAAAGAGCTGAAGACATATCTAGAGAACTAGAAAAAAAAGAGACTGTAAGATGTAGCACAAGGTAGAAATACATTTGAGAAGTTTGATATGACTGAAGAAAAATATAAACTATAATTTTTGTGATGTGTCTATATATGCAAATACATACCTTTTAGATGTCCTTTTCACAGCTTTCTGCCTTTTCAGATCTAAGATAAAACATGTGCATTTCATTATCTCACAGTTGTGCACACAAAAGTATACATAAATAAACTGACATATAATAGCATCATTTTTTTTATTTGAGCCTACTAGCAGTGTCACAAAGACTACACAATAATGTCTATTTCAGTTGCTGAATTAATCAATGAGAATTATGTTTCCGGTGTTTCTTGGTGCTTGATCAATAGTAACAGTGTTACTATATGCCTCATGAGCCCTAATTAATCAATGAGGAAATTTATAAAATAGGTGGGAAATAATTTAACTTAAAAAACTCCCTAACTTTGTATGTATTTATTTCTTACAAGCAAAAAAGAAAGATTAACCCGTTTATACCCAATTCAAGATGTGATACCAAGTACTATCACTAATGAGATGGCCAGGAGTGGCTAATTTAAGGTATACTGCTATGAAAGTCTGTATAAAAGGTATATAAATAACTAAAAATAAGATGCTGAAATGCAAAAAATTCAAGCATCTTTAAGTATCATAGGTGAGGTTTTAGAACAACTTAGGGGACATATCATAAATTTCAGACTTGCATGAATTACTGAGACATGAAAAGTATCTGGATGTACATCCAAGGCCCATTGGAAATACTTTTGTCTCTACATATGCATCTGTCCCAGAGAGCATGTTTTTTGCAAGTCTAAGCATATTAATAAAGCGCAACCTCCTTTTACTTTGGTACCACAGAATTAGAACCACCACTCTCATCTTTAACCTCAACATTGAACATAACTACAAATTACTGTATCACAACAACAATCTATTAGTGTACAACCAGATTCTTAAGATCTATTTATTCTGTTGATAAGAAGCAACTGTGATATCATTTCAGCAGTCTAAGGCATAGCTGTATGACAGCTGCTGCATACTGTGGACATAACTAGTCTGTGTAAACTGAATAGTTTGGGCACTGGCAGGAGTCTGGCCGCAGCTGTAAGGACCTTGTTACAATACCCTCCTGCGTGTCCAGCTCTCTGCATCTCTGCTGCGTTCCAGTCCTTTGATCTGCAGGTCTGCACAGTTTTGCCTCAAATGAGGCGCCTTTAGTTACAAACGCAGCAGGAGAAATGTTAATGTCTGCCCCAACCAGAGCTTCCTGTTCTGTCAACTTGCCTTTGAAAATGGCTGGACATTTCACACTCTTTTTTACAGGAAAACTCTCTTTTTCAGGAGATATTCCCTCTTCTGGGCTTTCTTCCCTAGATTTCATACTATGGCTCAGGATTCGCAGCAGGTTCATCTTTCTTTGCTCTGTAGGTGTTGAAAGGGAAAGAAAGGAAGAGTTAACTTCCTGCTCAAATACATGCCTGGGATTTTTGATTTTTGAGTTCCTCTTTGGTATTCAGTCCCAATTTTTAAGGACTGCCCACACAAGACCTCAAACACAAAATTACTTCGGTACTAATTTTTACTTTGTACTTTCCCAAGGATGAAGACTTCTTTTACTTCAGCTGGGTAAACTTGGTTTCAGACTGCATACAAAGGGTACTTCAAAGAGAAACATAGTGTTACAGGTGTAGTAAGGAGAAGTGTAAGTAATTCTGTAACTAGTGAAACACAGATCAGCTCTTCATTCTTGCCAATGATGTACTTATTTAGAATAACAAGAGATAAGGGTTTAATATCTACTGTTAAAAAACTGTGTATAGAGCTTTCAAAACATTCTGTCACAATGGTTTCATTGGAGGGCCTGTGCTGAAGCATGAATGAGTGGACGTTTGCCTGTCTGTTTGGGTCAAATGAGCAAGATGGCTGAAAAGTAAAAATGAAGAGAAGTTAGTTAGAATTTCAGAAAGATTATTATTTCAATCATCAAAGCCTTCATTTGTTCCTACAATGGGGGATGCTTTTTGCTATTTTTCATAGAATCTTTCCAAGTTAGTGAATTAACTCTGCTAACGACTACAGTTCATTTTAATCTTACCTGCATATAATGCTTTCTTCCTTCGGGCTGGACTGTCAGCAGTGGTTTGCCAGATTCGCTGATGTGGTGTCAGTGCTGGCTCTTCTGAAGCACAGCATGGCCTACTGCTAAGAGTAGTACTCAGGTCTTCAACGTGTTTGGTTACAGAAGACACAGTATGTGTCTGCTTGTGATTACTGCTTGTAAGTGACAAAAAGAAGAAAGAAGCCAGAAATTACTTCAAACATAAAACACTGGTTTAAAAAACTGTAAACTGAAGTTTTCCGGTAATTTAAATACTCATTTTAAATGCTTCTAACAGTGAAAAATGTTTTCTTTATTATCCTAGTCTGCATTTCAAAGGGGAGTTCAAAGGAGGTTAAAATACTCTTAGTTTTTTTAATATTTAGAAGTCATTTGTTAATCTGTTTAAAAGATGTTCATTACTTTTAAGGCAACGTCCTCGTATATTTTTAATAAGGTCAGAATGTTCTGTAATAGCCACTTTGAATTCTGGGGGAAAGAATAAACCTACCATCAGCAATGCAAATAACTGACACACGTGTATGCACATATATATATATATACACACACACACGTATATAACTACGTCCCAGCATTAATAAAAAATAAAAAATGCAAATTCTGAAGTAAACACTTATCTACATTTTTATACTGGATATCCTACCTGCCCTTCCACACGTATGAAATCTTTCCACAGCACTTTCCACTTTTAATTTATTTTACTTTACTTTTAATACCTTTATTTTAACTTACTGTTTTTAATAGATTTCTGTCTTAAAAATCTGATTTTTTTTTATGTACTTTTTTGGTTTTGTACTATTACTGCACAGATAAATAAGGCACTGGGCAAGCTACTTTTTTACTAAGGCCGTGCTCCTGTAGAGATTACAGGTAACTTCATGTTTGAAGCTAGGTCTGTGTTTGTTTCCCAAACAGAAACTCAGTATAATCAGACATGCAGAAAACTTTTCCACAGTGGTTCAGGAATCTGCCTTCAGTATGCTGTGGAAGGACCTCTTTTTGGCACTCTCCTGGCACCATGAGATTTTCAACATGTTTTTCAACTGCCACTGAACATGAAATTATTTTTCATGATATATTACTTCTGTTTCGATAAAAAGCAAGGATACATACGTCATGAACATACAGACACACATTTTAAAATCAAAAATGTGAAAAGAAGTAAGCTGAATTTCATTCATGGTGTTTGCCATCTTTTAAACAAATACATTTGTATGTAATTTATGTTTCAATCAGCATATCACAATGAGTGGCAATTTAGTCATGAAGTACCAAGCCAGCTTTACCTACAGGACAGTAATTTTTCATGAATTCTCTAGGTCAGAGGGAGCAACTTTACCATGTGCTGGAGACAGAAATGTATTTTCACCTCTTTGCTTTAATTATTCCTAATAATTTGAGACTACTGAGATATTTGAGATCATTTTGTTTCAGGCATCAGTGTATTAGTATTTATTTCCAGAATTTTATTTTCCATTACTGTAACTGTTAAATGAAAAAAACAACCTTTCTTTTTAAAAGAGGAGAATGTCAGACATTAAAACTGCAAGACAATGAAAAAGTAGAAATGTAACAGATAGCTCCTATCTCTTATTAACGTAATAGCACTCTGAGGACATACTTATTCTCTGCATCATTTTCTCCATTATAACAATCCATCATCAGACATTCGGCATGAATGGATTTCACTTTCTCTAGGTCTGTTTCTCCTTGTTCAATCTCTTTTTTCAAAAGGTTTATGTCTTCACTCTAACAGAGAAAATAAAATGTTTTATTATAATTACTCCTAAATATGTTTCATTTCGGAACTGAAATTATGCAAGTTCTGATAATAATTTTGAATAATGACTCAGGACAGTTGCAAAATTTTGTATACTTTTCAGGTAGTCTCTCGGGCTTGGCAATACAGCCTTTCAAATTATTCTTCCTTTTTAGGCAAAGGACAAGCGTTCCCTAACAAGCCAGTTACCCCTTGAGATATGAACAGCCATATTTCTGAATAATGTAATGAGGTCAAGACCTCCCCTCATTCCAAGCAAGCAAGCAAATAAATAAGTAAATAAATAAAATATAATACAAGATATGTACATTATAACTGTTGTCCTGTCATTCTGCAGATCACAGCTGTATCACATACTGTCCCTGAAAAATGGGAAGTAAAAACCGCACTCTTCAAGTAAACATTGGAACTGACTGGGGATCATTTGGACTACAGGAGGAAACAGGAAGGAAATTCCAATGATGATCCCTTTACAACTCCCACAGGGCCAGAAGTCTGGAGATAGACAACATGGACTCTGGCCCTCATCTTTCCAACATGTGCAGTGTCACACAGTCCACGTTAGCAGAATCACTGAAATGGCCCAGTTCACTCTCTGATATCTTTCAAGAGCTGGAGTATTTTCACATCTCCCTTCTAATAGGTGCATGCAAAGTTCTAAATTCCCTGCTACTGTCTTGTTCCTGGTTGTTCTCGTTGTTCCACTACCAGCATTTCTAAAATTTGTGGAACTAATTAACTGAGTGTTAACTTCAGTTAAAAACAAGAATATGCTTTAAATGGGTGCTTCTGTTAGCCTATTCAGAAATTTCCTATTGGGGATTGTTAGATTGCACTGCTTAGTCACACTTGATAGATCACTGCTATTCTAGTCATTTTACTCATTATAGATCTCTCCCCAGTGGCTATTGTAGAGCAAACTTTTAGTAAAATTCATAGAATCATTCATTCATCATCATTCAAATTGAGCTCTGCACTCTCTCATTTATTAACAGGACGTAAACCATAGTTTCATTTTAAATAGTAACTTATTTCTGAGACAGCAGAGATCACGTGTGTTTCTTCCAGAGCTGAATTTAGTCTGTACAGTTTTTTGCTTTTGCTTTTCGGGTTGGTGATTTTTTTTTTTTTTGCGACAGTAGCACTACAAACATACTTTGTATGATATTTGGGCTTTTCTGTTGCGGTCTAATAAAATTTCAGAAGTAAAAAATGTCACACTCATTGCTTTCACATCACTTCAAGTCTAACTAGGATTAACCCTCTTTCTTTAATAATTTGTTGTAAAATGAAATCACAATAATGTGAGTCCTGTGATTCCTTCAATAGCATGAAGAAACAAACATATTTATTTTCAGATACTTACAACCATAAACTCTGCAGTATCAGGATCAGTCAAATAAATGTTGTAATAACGAAACCGTCCCTCTGTTTCAGTAGATAGCTGATACAAAAATTTATTAGCTTCCATATCATCACAGTTGAAGGATACAGTATGGATGGGAACTTTATGATGAAGGTGGACTTGAGCCAAAATTAATTGAGGGGGCTGAAAATTGGAAAGTGTATATCAAACATGTGGCATCTAGAAATGTATATATCAAAACATGAAGAATTTGTAAGAATTTAAACAGTCATACTGTTGCTTAGAGATAGATATAGACCAGCTAAAAGTGTAAGTTTTGTATGGATTGCTATTTCGTAATTATATAAAATAAGCTAATTTAAAACTGAATTAGAAACACTGATAATGCATTAAGTCACAGGATACTCTAATAAAATAAAACGTAAATTATAATATGATAAGTACTCTTTGTTTTTAAGTCTTAAAGGAAATTATTAAAGTATCCTAGATTTATTGGATACGCTTCAGTAATTAATTTCATGTGGCCTTCAGCCCAGCTATTTATGTAAGTAAAGTCAGGATTTTGCTGCATATCTGCCATTACAACCAAGCTAAATTTTCAAGGGCAAATAAAGTATTTTTAAATTCCATTCTCAGCATACGGGCTAGTTTTCACCATGCCTCACAGCTTGAAAGTGGAGGTTTTTCCAGTTTTTACTTGGTGTTATATAATGTGATATAACACGAAACAGCATCATTTTAAGTCATGGTAACATCACATTCAAAAATAAAAGCATATTTTTGATTTTGTTATCCACTTAAAGCTAGACTTAAAGCAACTTCAGACTGCCGCTACTCCAGAACTGCACCTACACGAGATCAAATTTGACTCAGTAGGATAAAAATGGAATCATATGGAGACCTAATAGAACAATATCAATGGTAACAGCTTTAAATGAAAATAATGTAAATTAATAATTACGCTTTTACTCCTCAGACATGACATAGCCTTTGTGCAAGTTCTGCAACAGAATGTAAGAAGGCACCTACTTAGGCATTTGATGTGTTCTTTGGGGAAAAATGTTGAAGACAAACTTTGTTTTTTTTAATTTTGCTATCAATCATTTTCTTTTTAGGTTTTCAAGCCATCACACAAGGTTGCACGGTTTTAATATTTAAATCCAACTATATGATGGGACCATCATTATTTTTTTATTTTTTAATTCATCAGATATTTGTACTAAGTCAGGGAGACATTTTATGAAACACAAATGCTAACCTTGATACTAACATACAGCTTTAATGTTTAATCCATTACCAGATCCTTAAAACAACTCATGAGAAATGTCATGAGTTATCATGCACCAAAGACTGGACTGTGGGCAGAGAGTTCTAATCAAAATCCCTTCATGAACAACACATTTCTCAGATACAATTTTTCAATATTATGACAACGTCCAAGAGACTCCAAGAGACTCAGCTCTGCAGGTAGGATACCCATCTCATACTTCAGCCTTCTGACACCACACCACTGCGTTTTCCATTTTCTCATTTCAGAAATACCTGGTCAGGTCTCCCATCAGTCAAGAGATAAATAGCCTGAGTGTCAGTATCAGCAAGAGCAATCTGGAGAGCTTTGAGTGTATTTGTGGAAGTTCCCACCTAAGAAACCAAAAAGAAAAAGACAAAGAAACAGCTGTAAATACTAACAGTTCTTTGCCTCTGTTCTTAAATTCATAATGACAGTGTACTGATTCAAGGGATATTACAGAATCGAAATGAGTAATAAAATGGTGAAAATATTTCTGTTAAATAGCTAGAAAAATCAAAGCAAGTGTTAAAGTAGCATAAATCAGTACCAAATTGGTGTTCAGTGCTTATGCAAACACACATAAGCAAAATGTTGGCAACAGAAATATGAGCTGTAGAAGCAAAAGTAATCACTGAAAGACTATAAACAGATAGGACGATGTAAGATAAAAGATACAATCTATTATATTTTCCCACTGCTGCTCCTGATTGCCAAGTCATCACACTCCCTTGAAATACATATCTTACCTAACCAAATAATTCAAAAGCTCCAGAAAAGAGTTACACACATTTATTTCTCAAAAATAGGTAAAGGACTTCCTGGTTTTCTGAACAATACTTTTTCCAGACTACCTCTCATCTACCTCCTCAGCACATCAATGTAAACATAATTTAGTTCGCTATAACAACAAAACATACACAGTAAAGCAATACTGTGCCCCCTAAAAATTCATATTTCAGTAATATTAGCACTTTTCCTGTGTCATTCACATACGTAGTGATCATGATCTGTCTGCTTTCTTTTTAGACTAAATGCAACTCTAAACTCACTGAAATGCATTTCATGGCTTATAGGAACCTAAAAACGACAGTTTACATCTTCAGATATCCACCTTTCAAACATTCAGTGTACAAAACCTTCTAGTATAACTAGTATACACCTGAGTACCGCTCCAGAGGGCAGTGAGGATTGTAGCGGGGTAAGTGAGAAGAGACTCCGAATCCACATATAAAATGCATTACACAAGATAAATATAAATCACCAACATTGACTCATACAGGCAAAAAAAAGTTAAGAGATAGCGTTATTTCTTCAGTCTTATTACTTGTGTTAAAACTTCTTCCAGTCCTTTCCTCCAGCAAACTCTTCTATTAGAAAGGGCAAAGTAAGCAAATCAGGTGAAAAGGAATAGGAGGTACTCTCTGAGAGTGACTCTGTATGGCTGCGTAACAGTGTATGGGCCAGGCAACAAGATAGCCCAGACACTTTATAATCCTATCTTCCAATTCACAAACAATCCTAACGAGTACCCACTCATAAGAAATAACTAGCCTGAGCCACTTTCTTTGTGTTAAATATTTCTAATATTCCTAATGTTTTAGTAAGCATTATAAAGTTTTAGGCACACATCAATCATTATTATGTGTAAATTGGCCATCCTGGCTCTTTTCAATAATGGTATATAGTTTTGATCTGATTTGAAACAAAACAACTTCTTCCACTATATCATGGGAACATACTGTGGATGCTGATGATGTGAGAGAAATAACTATGTACCTTAAGGAAAAAGCTGTTAATTTTAGACTTCTCAGTTGCTACTGTTACAAGTGAACACTGTTTTTATCAGTGTTTAAACAAAGTTGACATGCTTCAACTGCATGGCATCAACACTCTCAAAATTTTAAATGTTATCACCTCTAAAGGATTTTTAATGAACAGTTAGTTACTGTTTGTAGTTCAGCTTCCTTATCCAACATCCTGGGACCAAAGTGTGTAAAATGAGATCAAAGGATCTACTCTGATTAATATTCCAAAGCAACCTTCTGTTCACTTCTGCTTCACTGTAAAGCCAACTTTCTGATCTCAGACTTAACGCCTGCACTGCTTTAAACAGACTAAAAGATCAGCAGCAGATGTCATCCCTGAAAAAATGTAGACTGTTCTTATACCATTCCCTGTACCATTTCAGATAACTAGATCTGAACTTAAAAGAAAATTCATAATCAACACTCACAACTTCATGAATAATGATGAAAAAGACCATTCCCAAATGCATATGCAAGATGGTATCAAATTATAGCAGTTCAAAATATTATTGAACTGCCATGATGCTGTACAACATATATCGCTTAAACAGAGCCAACTTTTCAAGTCTCAAGGAAAGCTCCAAGTCTGCCAGCGACAGCCCTCATCCATGCAGCAGCCCTGCAGCAAGAGTGACAAATTTAGAAGCAGGGTCTGAGCACTGTCATGGTTCTGACAGAAACCAAATTGGCCAATGCTTGCATTGTGGCTACTAACCAGCAGGCTGCAAGTTGAATTAACATGATCTTATAAACAGGTCCACTGTTAAAGGATTATTATACCTGAAAGATAATACATTATACTCAGATCTACTAAAGTTTATACATAATCTATATTTTCAGCTTACTCAAGTCAAATACTCAATCCAAAAATACCCCAGCCAAACAGAAAGAGAAGGCACAAATATGACTTTGTACAAACATCCTTTGTGATAATTAGTTGTCATGTTACCTCAAGCCCTTTTATCCAAAGCCAAGCATCTTGCAAACTTTCCTCATTAACTTCAGTAAGTTTCTTTCGCCATGCCACTGCTTGGGCACTAAATTTCACAAAGTTAAATCTCTTTTTGTGTCTCAGTTGTTCCTGCAAGAGACAGGATCTGAATTTTACTCAGTGTTAAAAGAAAGAATACTTGTATCCTGATACACTGACTAGTCAGAGTTTTTTTAATTAATATATAGTTGATTATATGGTTACAATAAATTATGCTAATACTCAGTTACAATGTACAGAGAGATATACAGAGACAGAGACAATTACTGCCTGTAATTATCAAGATTACTTGAACTTCCCAATGTAAGTCTCCATTTACTCATATTTCTCAAACTACTTGAATGGCAAATGTCTAGGACGGCAAGAAAGAGAGAGACAAAACTGAGTATGAGCAGCGGTACAAGGAAGAGATTATGACTGCTTACTAAAGGAAACTGAAATCAGAAACAAAGTAAAACATCATTTAGAGGAGGAGAACAAGAATCAAATGTAGAGCACTGGCAAGGGGAACTAGGACAGCAAGAGAGAACTAAGAATTTGCTGGTTGCTTTTGGACAGAAGTTATAAGGACAGGAAGATTTGTGCAAGTTAGTACAAACTTTCAGAGCCTGGAATCTTTGTGTCCCTTTCATCACCATTGTTGTGCAGCTGCCTGTGAAACCTTCTAGGACAGTATCTAATTATTTTCTAGTACTGATCTGCCTAGAGGACATCATACTACATCCTATCACTTCTGCATTTCGCTCAAAAACCTCTCTGTTATAGTTTCAAATTTTCTAGCCTTACTAATGATGGCTATCAATGCCAGACTGCTGGAATTTTTATTTGTCAGTTACTCCACTCAGGTCTAAAAAGTTAAGACGAATCATGTTTTAACAGTGCCTGTTTCTCTCAAATAATAATGTATGCTTAGATGACATCATTGTAGATTTCTAAAACTAGGTAAGACAAATCCTGTCTTAGGTATGTCTCCCAGTACTCACTGCTTTTGAGGTACTTCTGCACCTTGCAAGTTCCTTTGCAAAGTTCTGAGTCACTGTAAGAGCAAGCAAGTTCAAAATGTTCTATACCCTCTATGGTAAAAGTATGAAAGTGAATCTAGAACACACATTACAAATCACAACATACCAGTGGAATTGGATGACACTGCTTAAAAATAATGAAATTCCCAAAAGGTGTTTCATTGCATAGCTTTTTCATTTTTTTCTTTTTTTTTTCTTTTTTTTAGGAGGGAAGTAGCTTGAGGGAAAGAAGAACTACTTAAGCCTTTTTAATTTTTAACATTTTCTCCATTTTTTCCAAATATTTGTACAAATGAGGAAAAAATATAAAATTTTAACTCAAAAAAGAGAACACCAAGAAAAGTCAAAATATTTTTATAAAGCTGCCATTTTTAAAAAAAATTTAAAAAAAAATAAATCAAAATTAGAGTAACAAGCATCCAGAAAAGATCAGCCTACTCTAAAATGCTCCTCAGTCTTCAGAATCATCACTTTATCATACCTTTATGAGCTGAAATATTTTCTCCTTCACCAGTGGCAGTTTGTCCTTCATAGACCGGGATGTATCAATAAGAATATAGACATTATCTTCAAACACATTTCCCAAAAGCCCTCTGCTTCCTTGTTCAAGCCACTTAATCCTTGGAGAAGGAAAAAAAAAAAAAAATTAAACCTGGTCTGTAAGATCTTTGGAGCTTCCAACAGGAAAGATCTTTTTATCATTCAACCCTTCCTATTCC